CCTTATCCACAATAAAGATTAGGTACTCAAAATTGATGAAATAGGTATAAAAATAGTTTCAAATCACCTAAAGTATAAATATAATATCATATTGAAAGTACAATACCTAATTGGTAATCTCTTTGTACATCCATTCATTTCGTGTCCTAATCCGTTATTTAAACGCGTTATAGATATGTAGTTTATATTGCCTTTCTATATCCTGATGAAAAGAACAATAATAAAACATCGAAACGAATATAATATAACATAACAATAAAAAGTGGTCGGACTTTTATACGGTAAAATATGATTTGTCGATCGCACGATTCGAAATACTATACGTTTTGACTTCGGGACGTTATATATTGGACGGCGCCTTTTTGTATTATAAATGGGATCTATAAACGAACGACGCATTACTACGACGACGGTGTGGGCTGCAGTGTGTGTGTGTGTGTGTGTGTGTGTGTGTGTGTGTGTGTGTGTGTGTGTGTGTGAGGTCCACATACGAGTTCAACTTCTTGTGAGCACGGCGAGGGTAGTAGCGGTGGTTGTTGGCTAAGCCGCTAAGGGCTCGGTGGTGGCGGGTCGTTGGGCTAGAGGGGTGGGTGTACCGGAAAGTGTATTATTTCTTTTCGTTTTCGATTTGAAACGTTTAGACTGCACACTGCCTGTTATTATTATTATTATTATTATTATTATTTACTCGGATTTTCTACGTTCGCGAACATTGCTGGTGTTCGATTCTGTTTTTCGTCGGAGGTTTGTTTGCTCGGATAAGCAAGTATTTGGACGGTGCAACGCCTTGTGAACGATTCTCGGCAATCAGCTCAAAACCAATAGTCGATCGTACATGTATAATGTGCTACCGCTACGGCGTTTCGGGACAGTCGTAGTGGTTCGTAGTGGGTCGAGAGCATAACTAAATCGTATTATACACGTGTGATGTACGCGTATTTCCAGTACACATGTCTCATACTTACGGACTTTGAGCTCGTAAAAAACTCCAGGAGAATTTTATATGAATAGAGTATATTTATTATATATACATATATATGTGATGTGATGTGTGTGTGTGTACATAAACTATAAATTGGAAGTGCATCGACATTTCCGATTACCAAACTAGTGGAAAGCAAATTAAAATATTTCGCACCCCTACGCGATTCGATCAATTTTGTAAATAATAAATAATTTGGATCACCCCTGTCAATTTGGATCAAATTTGTGGGTGACAATTTGGATATATGTACAAATTACGATCCAGTGGATAACTGCAGGCTCTTCTACACTAGGTGCTTTACCATCTGCACGTTTTTCACACTGTCAATGGTAACTTGTTTTTGATAAATCTGACACAAACAGTACCATAAACCGGATTTATAGTGTCGTTTGACGTCAGATAATATTGCCGTATCGGATATTATATGTATATTATGTATTAATTACATTCTGCTCTACAATAAACAACGAATTTATTGTGAATATTGATTATTTGAAGTTAATTATGTTTTATGTAAAACGGTTATAATTGGTTTCCGACGGATAACGGACAATTTTTCGGACGTTGGTGAAAAATATGGGTATACACGTCCGAGTCTAGTTTAAATGGCACAGTATAGCTTTACCTACCTAGTCGATCTCAGCGAACCTTTTTTTCGGAGGCCCATTAAAGTAGCGGCATTAACGTCAATACTTATTGTGGAAATCGTTTTCGAAACGGATCCGGTTGGAACAGAAAATTGGCTATAATATAATGGAGAACATTTATAGGCTTCTCTATTATACTTGTGTACGTGCATTTTTCTGTATGGCCCAATGTCCGGAAACGGCTATAGTGGATTTATGGTTATAACACGACGGGCCATTTTAAATCCCCCATACAATATTACACGCCTTATAACGATACTTTACGGTGGTATTATAAAATGGACATACATTTATTTCGTTGATTATTTGTTGTGTTTCAATAACAGTTTTACACAATGGTTATCCAGACCACCGCAATTCGTTTTAAACAGCAACTCGTTCGTACATCTATTAGATAATATAATATTATATTGCGATTTTATATGGTCTTGGTAGAACAATAGTAATCAGTTGACGTGATCAAAATATTTTATGTACATTTATAGCCCAGTTTTATGAATAAGTTTGACCGTATAGTATTTATTCGAGTAATGGTAAGTACTGCTGCAATAAAGATACTACTTATTGTTATTTTTACCTATACTGATAAAAAAAAAAAAATACGTAATGATTGTTATAGTGTATATGATCGATTGATCTGCGAAAGTATTCAAGAATCGTATTATACGGATTTCGCAATGGTCTTCTATTGAATGAACGAAGACATTATTTCACAATTTACGATAGTGTTAACAATAGTTAAGTATTTTTTTATGCCAGAATATGATATTATTGATGTAATTTGACGCTTTATCAAAGTTTTGTTTAGCAGACGCTACTTGTAAAACTTGTCCCTGCTTATTAAAAAAAAATATGAACAGTTCATAAATAGGTAAGCGAACAGTGGTATCTATGAAATGTATGCGTTTCAATAATTTTATAAGTGTAATAAAAATAAATATACATTTCATATGATAATGGTTAATACACTAATTTTGTGTATACTAAACAATATTATTACACATCAAATAATTAACTGAGTAACTGCAGGTGATCACTATAATACAACACTTTACCATTTTTGACACGAATTGACTTAATGTCTACATGTGAAAACATATCATATTATTGTCAAATGAAGTTGAATCATTGTGGTTTTGAGTTCAACGAATAGCCTTTGCACAAAACATTTTATTCGACGATTGATTATAATAAACAACAGTGAATTGGTATATTTATTGTGTACATACGGTTAACAAATTGAATAAGACTATATTTGAGACAAAATAAATGAACCTTGGTCCGATGAACCCATGTATCAGGCAAAAAAAACATTATCACGCTTGGCGTTGGTGAGATGGCCGCAATCGCAGAGGAGTCCAACTACGTCGGGATTAAAACGATATAATGAAAAATAAAAGAAGAAAACTCGTCCCAGAACCCTGGATTTAATAATGCGATGTTTTCATGTAATGGCGAAGAGGATATTGTTTGGCAAAACGCGGTATGGGAAACTTTACTTTCGATTATAATATTCAAGCTGAAATTGATATAGGTTCGACATTATACGCGCAGTGATGAATGGAAAGCCCATAAACCCACGGAAGTCTAAAAGACTTCAGATATACCTGCTGGCCCCGATATACGGTTAATCATCGACAAAACTTTGTCGAACCTATACGGAAACTATCCAAACAGTATGCGGAATCGCTAAAAAAAAAACCCCTCACGGAGCTAAAACCGCGGTGCTTGGCCGCTGTTGCCACGACAACTGCAAGATTACGAACGGAGGTTATAAATCCTGCACAGCGGATAAAATAATTTTATAATTTTCTTTATAAGTTAGGCGTATGTCAATAACAATGATTTTCGTCACAACACCCATAATATTCCCATTCGCATACATTAAATGTCCAAGGATATCATACGAAATCCACCTGCTGGTGTACTGAAATTGCCTATACACTACGCCGGTCAATGGATGTTAGTCGTGTTAGTGTCATTACGGCGCGGTGGAAGCGAACACGAGCCTAACGAAAAACATAATGCTCAGTACTGCGTCTGCTGTAGAGTTGTGGGTTTCAGGGGTTCTTTGTCATTGAGTACGGGAATGGGTGTGTTACGTCTTAAACTCATCATTAAATCATGAACGCAAAAAACAGTTCTGAGTGACGGAGACGGGTGGATCAACATTTCCTTTATAATTATGTAAAATAGCTTATGTTAATTTATATTTTTATTATTGTTTTCAATACTTTCTTGGATTAAATTGAATTTTGTGAAAATTATCGCATATTGCTTATAAGTCAAAAGTCAATACTTAGCTTGGCGATCACGATATATCCTGTACCTGTAGGTGGTTCGTGGTATAAATCGCTAAAATTGTCTAAAACAGGGTTTATAAATGTCATTGTTTATTGAAAATAATAGTATGCCTACGAAATGGAAAAATGTTTCAAATCCCAACTACTTTTTTTACGAATTACTACCAAGTAACTAGGTATTATATATTGCGGAAAAATGTTTTTTTTCCCATTAATATAACATAATAATATAAGAATAATTTCGTCAAAATTTGAACTTCATACTATACATCATATCCAAACAAATTGTGCACAATATGTATAATATTTGATATTACTTTAGAGCCAATTTTTAGCTCTGCTCATAATTTATAATTTAAAAAAATGTATATCAACTGTGGAATAAAGGGGGTCCCTTTTTACAAGAGTTATCAAACAAAATTAATCAGTGGCAACTTGGTCAAATTTTAACAACGTTCGAAAATATTTATATTTCATTGTTTAATTTTGTATATATGAAAAAAAAATAATGAACGCAATTCTTTATTGTTTCTAAAAAATAAAGTTACCAATATTATAAAAGTTTGTCATCCTCACTGCTACCAGGCATAATAATATTTTGTACTTTGGAAAAAGTGGGTCATTCCAAAAAAATTCGACATTTGTGTCAATAAAATAATAATAATATTGTTAAGTAATAATACAGCTTGACAGTAAATAATAATAATAATAACGTTTACTTTTCGCAGTGAATTATTTCAAATCCAAACAGAAGAAATTACATGTTGGTTGGACCTGACGCTGTTTGTATTTCATTGAAACATAATGTTATTGAAGACTAACAATTACACAATAGATTGTATTCGGAAATAGTTGTGAATTTTTTTTTAAAACCCGACCCGGCGCTATAGTACTCGGTTAAAATATTGTTTACAATTAGGACGTGTCCCCCATGCATGAACTTATAATATCATGACAATTTGAGTTACTGGCACGTGGTTTTTTTTCCATTTTAAAATCGTCCGAATACGAAATTTTCACCCCCCCCCCCTCCTTCACCAACTTATACTATAGGCTCACACGTACCTGTGGTGTTTGCGGAGTTTGTCGTGATGGTCGTGCCGGCCGTCCGGCAAGTCGATTCCACCCTCGGACAGCGTGCGGGCGGTGGCGTGCGCAGGCCTCGGAGACAGTGGTGGCTGGTACGGCGAAGGGCTGTTGGCAGGCGACGGAGGCAGGCCCGCTCCGGGTTGCGGGGACACCATGCCCGGCTGGATACCGAGCATGCAGTAAGGGTCGCTGAATCCTGTAGACGTGACACGGAAACAATTAACGACGGTCAATCACAATAAAAATTACATAAACAATAATAATAATGTCATGTATACCTATTTTATATGCCTATATTGTTTATTACCGCGGTCGGTACATGGTACTATATATATATAGGCATTGCAATAACAGGTATACGCACGCGCATTGTGATTCATCACGTTACACCAAGCTAATCTTGTACAATAGTAAAATGCATAGTATGTAATTATCATCGAATGTCTCATTTGTTCGGTAAATGATTGTTTTTGCATTTCTTAATACGGTTATATTTTTATTAGAATAACTCGAAACATTAATAATAATACATCAGATGGTACTATCAGCAATCGTACGGAAGGCTTACGGAAAATGGCTGTTAACGGCGGTGTGCGATGAAAACGACCAATATTAAACACGACAATAAGCTGACCTGAGGTAAAACACGCTTTAAAAGCCGATATAATATAAAAATCTGATTAGGTTCGTTTTCTCGAGGTCAAGGTCAGTGCATGTTATCGTGTTCCTGACGTTTTTAATTTGGGATAAACGCATACGCTGTGTTTTATTTATACCATCTAAAATATTCGACGAACTCGGCCTAAGTGCCAGCGGTTAGCCGCTCGCATACACAGCGTATATATTATTATAAGTGTATAACGCGTTTAATACAAATACTCATTAATGTATATTGGTACGGATGTGGTGGTTGAGGTGTTTTGTAATTGCGAGCTGCGGGTCGAGTGGAGAAACAATAGGGCGTTTCAAAAGGCGCATATTATTATTATTATTATAATGTTATTAAAAGTCGTCGACCCGAAGTTCCCGTCAAACGATGAGATGATCTCTTCAACAAGTCTCGCCGTAGGCACTTCGCTTACTGTTATTGTGAACTTAATCCAGATTGTGTAATAATATAATAATAAATGTTTAAAATAAAAATAGTAATAAAAGTCTGCGTGCGAGCTCCAGTGATATGCGTGAGAACGATTACGAGGGTGCGTGAGTGTGTGTGCGTGTATGGGTATGTGTATTTTCGAGCATAAATAACGGAGCTTTCGAGTATTTCAAGAATGCGTAGGTATGATAAGATTATGCGCGTTTGGAAAATACAGAAATTCGTTGAGCGAGTGAATTGAATTCTCTGACGGTCGTCTACAGTAATGTTCATCGATTATAATAATTATCGTCCGGACGGGAACGCGTATTGAGTAGGCGGTAATTGCAGGGTATTACAAAAAAATGTCATAACCATTGTTTTGACGTCCGGAACTTAACGGTCAAATGAATCGATAACTTAATGCATAGTGCAGGTCCCTTGCATTCGTTGCATAGTACATACGTATATCCTCTGCGCGATTAAAGACTTAATCAATTATATTAAACGGGTCGCCGAGCATTGCCGAGAGAATGTCGGAAAAATAAGATAGCAAACAAAGTTTCAGTGTCAATAATTTTTATCCGTTTTGTGTAAACATTGGATTTTTCTCGCTTGTCAACATTGAATACATGCTATAGCAATATTATGATATATAATATGAATACTGTGAAAACATTTAAGTTACATAATATTATTGGACTATCTACTCGAAAGCCAAGCGATAGTTTTTCGTACCTACCTACGTTTATTATAATATTATGATGTTGATGTCTGATTATAATATTATTATTTAAGTCTTTCGTTAGATGTTACTTTAGAATTATTATTTATAAAACATTCATGAATTTACTAATTGATGTTTTAAAATCGTATTAAGGGTTCCAGGTAACGAAGGTTTTTCCCCGGGATTTTCTTTGTTTTTAATTATTGCATTTTTTTTTTTTTTTTTGATAAAAAAAGGAACTTCATACAATACAATTTCACTTTTTTCACTGTTAAATATTTAATAAATAATTAAAAAAAACTCTGATTTATATTTGTATTCACTTTATTGCAACAAATAAAGTACCTGCTGAACAATTAATTATACAGTAAATCTTGAAAGCGTTTTGGTAATTAAATATTTTTATTAAAAATGCACCTAGTTTTTGGTTTTATTAAAATATGTTTTATTTGTTTTGTTATTAGAAACAATGCCTTTACACGTACAGTCGTTATTGATCACCACTGTCCGTGAGCTTACGAGCAAAAGTTGGCGCAGATTATTTCAGATCGTTTATACTTTATGGTTTATACGTTGACTTCCGGCGTGCAAAAAAGGCCTCGGCGTAGTTTCATCATTCTTCGCGAGTTAATGAATATTTTCGGACAATATTTAAAACAAATGGCTTAGAACAGACTGGCTTGTGGTTATCACCTTAAGCTAGGTCTTTGCGATAACCGTCGAAACGTATTATGGAGGTAGTTCATGCGAGCATATTGGAATGAACAACTCGTCGATTACGGTTAGTTGAATTACACGGGAGTATCTCCTAATGCCGGATAAATCCACTTGTCCTGCCCTACCCGTCGTCGTGTTGATGAATTTGTTTTTCGAGATATTGTATTGTATACCCTACAATGGCAGTATTAGTGCCAGAACGTGAGTGCAGTGTAAGTGTGTGTGTGTGTGTTTGTAGTCCGTTTACCGATGCAAACTTTCTCGTTGCGCACACTAATAATCTACTTGCTATCCATACTAGTTGCATATAATATTCAGAGCAATTCACCAAGCATGTCCACCCTCATATTTTGCATTTTTAAAATAAATTTATTCAAATTCTGATTTTTGAAACTTTTGAGTACACTTAAGATCTAAGAACCATATTTTCATACTTTTGGATCTTTATGCAGTTTAAAAGGGTCCTGTGGTGATCCAAACTTCTTTCATTCAAACGATAACCACTCTTTTATATTGTAAATCGTTAAGAAAATGATTTATTTTTACAAAGTTTCATGACGTTTAATGACTCGGCCAACTAATTGTCTAAACTTCAAATGTCAACATTTTCAAAAGAGTCATCTTCCTTATAGGTACTTTAAAATAAAAAAGTTTGGTCTCGTTTGAATAAAATAAGTATGTATTACTACAGGAAACTCCTTAAATTACATAAAAAATCGAAGTATTTGAAATGTGCTCTTTAATATTATACTTAAATACTATAAAAATCAGAATTTCTAAAAATACATTATTTAAGCAATATGTGAACAAATGTGTTTGAGAATTACTCTGTAAAAGGTAATTTTACTATTGCGTCAATGAATACGAACAATTAATTGGTTTACACTTTAAATAGATTACGTGATATCTGGATAGAATTTTATCCAAATCCATCCAATGATCGATGTATCAAAATTTAAATTGGGGAGTCTATAAGTTTATATTATAACTAAAACATGTATTTCCATATTTGAAGAGTGGAATAGATTCGAGATAATGTCATATTATCTTTTTGATGTATAAAATATTGACACTAAAGAAGACAAAAAGATTTACGATCTCTCAAACTGTTATATTATTTCAATATACTACCTATGTAATTTTCAGAGTTCATTTGTATATGCCCATAAGTAGCAGTTACATTATAGAATAAGATTTTATTTATTAAATTGGATAAAATAATTAAAAAATAGAATCGTTCAATAACTTTAGGAAAAATAAGATAATTATGGTGTAATTTGAATAAACATTTTAAGTTAAATAATTTACATTTTTCATTTAATGAAATAAAAGACCCTCGTAGTCATACCCTGAAATAGGAAGTCTTTGAAAGCTGAATTAATAGCATAAATATCTTAAAAATAAACATTGATTATGAAGAATAATATTTAAATTCCAGTATAAAAAAGCATACTACTCAAATTTAGATAAAACTAGAGAATAATTCATAACATGAACGTGATTTGTTATTAAATTCTACGTACTCAAGTTTGTATAAACCTAATTTAATATACATGATTTAATTTGAATATTATCAACATGTTATTTTGAAGAAAGTGTATCGATAGTAAAAAAGTTACTTTTTAGGAGATTTCCTATTATACATTTTTGATATTTTTATGATAGCCATACATTATATTATACCATGTGATACCTTAATAATCTTTTATTTTTTAAAGAAACTTAAATATTAACACATTTATCAGTTTTTAAAATCATATCTTGATAGTAAACCAATTATGAAATTATTTAGATCTTTTTGGAGTTGCTTAGTATTATTCAAACATTTTTCATTACATTTCTACAAACAGTTAGAATATTTTAAAATTTAAATTATGTAAAATCATTACATAAAATATGAAATAATAATTGTTGAGAATGCCGAGTACCAGATAATACTAATAATATCAGATAATTGAGCTTTCATATTTCGCAGTTATAAATCGACTTATTTAATTAGAGTTCAAAAAGAACAAATTAAACAATAAATTAACTATTATTTTACTAATATGATTACATTATATTGAAAATGTGTTCTTTTCTTCAAACTTAATAATAGGTGTTTGAACTTTAATTCTAACCAAGATGCCAAAATGTTGAATTTACATACCTAACGGCATTTAAATATGAAGTCAGTAAAATTAAACAATGTAAGAACCACAATAATAGTGGTGATAAAACAAACAATTATTATTACTATTGCACTGAATAATATTCTGTTTCATTAAATTATTCACTGGTTTAGGGGACAAGTGCTTAAGTATTTCACACGACTGCAGAGACACCATCACAGGACAATATTTTAAGCAAATGACATAACATATATTATGTAAATAATCGGTTTTCACTGTGGTGTAAATGATCGGAGGGTTTCGATATTTATATATTTTAAGTATGGAGTATCTAGGCACGGAGTTTCTCTCGATAAACGTACATTCGGTAATGTGGGAATGCTTTCACGACAATATTAACGGAGCATAATATTACTATGGGACTTCCACTGTACAATATTATAGGTATTTTAATACCCGTACGAATGATTTAATATGTTGTGCATAGAATGCGTGTTCAATAATTTCCGTTTATGAAATCATATATCTTAACTTATACACAAAAAAGGACGTGATTTTTGGTT